GCACGGAGATGGACGGGTAGTTGATGCCCGTGGCGATGAGATCCGGCGAGGGCGTGCCACGCGGGCAGGCGAACCCGGCGTCGCCGGAGACCATGCGAACGAGCTTGGCCTTGTAGCCGTAGTAGCAGAGGAAGTTGAGGTAGTCCTTTGCGGTGGTGTCGAACACCAGGCCCGGGCTGAGCGCCCGCAGCGGGCTGATCTCGCCGGCGCCCATGTCGTGTCCGGTCGCCACCGCGCCGGTGTTGCTCGCAACCGGCTGCCCGAGGTTGTTTCTCGTCGTCGCTGCAGCCACGATCGATCGCTTTGGTTAGAAATGCCAATCTACTTTGCTTAAATTTGTCGAGACTACTAAGCTTTGCTTAAACCTGTGGTCATGAGAGCTGATCTGATCATGGACGGGGACCAGCCCGGGTGGGCCGACTTGACGAAGGCGCCGGCGCCTGCGACGTGCGGGCAGGCCATGGAAGTGCCGGACTTGATGGCGAATGCCGAGGCCTTGTTGCCGTCGGGGACGTCCGCCTTGTCTGTGGACGGCATCGCGGCGGCGAGGATGGTGACCCCGGGCGCCATTAGATCAGGCTGTCACCAAGAAAAAGAAACATCCTGTCAGAATGCAAGCTACTACAGTACTACAAATTAAATGCCAGATTGGATCTTTCTCTTCTGACCCATGCTGATTAATCATGTGAATTAATACTATTACTGACCTTGAGGATGGATTCGGTGAGACCACCAGGGCCGCGCGCTGAGAAGGACGCCACCATGGGCGCGGGCTTGAACAGCTTCACGTCCTCGGTCGGGAGGATCACGGCCGTCGGATTCCTGAACCAACCAGGGAAACATCCATACTTCCTTTCTGGTCAGTGGTCACTACTAGGCGTAACACGGAAGGAAAAACTCCGGTTGGGTTGGGTTGGGTGACTCACTTGGTGGAGTTGATGTAGTCGAGGATCTGCGCGCCCAAGTCGGCGCCCACACCTGGGAGAAGGCGAAGCTGCCGGCATCGAACGGCACGTCCTTCTCCGTGTCGTCGATCAACACCAGCCCACTCGCCCCGGACCCCTCCGCCACCAGCTTCTTCACCCGCCGCGACACCATCGAGTTCGTGCCCACACACACTACGATCTTTCCGGCTACCTTCTGCACGTCCAACGATCCCGGATAACAGTTGCTGCAATGCAAATATGCAATACAAATTCGTGACCGACACGCTCAAAATTCATCCGTCTGCACACGTGACGTTGAGAGACGGACGCTTCAAAATGGTCTTGCTGTACCTTGCCTCGGACACCGGCGTGTACCGGCCTGCCGCTTGTGCTCCGGACACCAGAGGGAACCGGTCTCCGCTGAGGCTTTGGTTGGAGAAGTTGATGGCGACTCCCTGACATGGCGCCTCACGTTCAGGACGTCAGTCAGGTTGCAAGAACAAGAAGCATGGCAATGGCGACGCGTACCTTGACGACGTTCCCGTTGCCGAGGACGACGCTGGACTGGAAGGTGCGGTCGATGCTGGAAGCGGCGACGGTGAGGATCCACGGAGCGGAGTTGACGACCGTGTAGGGATTAGGGCCGTCGTTGCCGCCGGAGCAGACCACCAGGACGCCCCTCTGGTGCGCGTGGAACGCGCCCAGCGCGATGGGGTCGCTGAGGAAGTCGGACGCGAAGGCGGAGCTCATGCCGATGGAGATGGAGATCACGTCCACGCCATCGCTCACCGCGTCGTCGATGGCCTTGAGCAATGCAGAGCTAGAGCACCCGCCCATGGTGCACACCTTGTACGTGGCCACGCGGCTCGCGGGCGCGCCGCCCTTGGCCGCGCCCCGGGCCAGGCCGTAGTAGTCCGCGTCCGCCACGACCGTGCCCGCGGCCGTCGACGCGCAGTGCGTGCCGTGACCGACGGTGTCTCGCGGCGAGCCGGTCATCGCGGCCGTTACCGCGCCAAGGGAGGCGTTAGACGACGTGGGCGCCGCCGAGCCGGGCTGGATGCCGTAGTACCGAGCCCCGATGAGCTTCCTGGGGCACACAATGCACGGTCGCAGAATTTAAGCCGTTGTGCACAACATGGCAAGTGTTGTTTTGCTAGTACATACTTGTTGCAGTTGCTCTTCTTGAAGTCCGGGCCTTCCATGCACAGGCCTCGCCACCTCGCCGGCACGTCCCCCATCCCGGCGTCGTTGAAGCTCTGCGACTCCGGCCAGACACCTGACGACGTACGACACCAAATCAAAAAGGGTTGCAGGCAATGCCGATGTCATAAGTCGCGCACGTACCGGTGTCGATGACGCCGATGATGACATCGCCGGAGGCACGGCGGCCGAGGCGGTCGGTGCGGAGGCCGGACTGCGTGTCGAGGAAGTCCCACGAGCGCGTGGTGTGCAGCTGCAGAGCGCGGTCCCGGAACACGGACACCACCCTCTCGTGGTCTGGTGGTGCAACAACCAAACAAAACAAAATTACCATCAACTCACTGGCGCACGATCATCATCACAACAAACAAAACCGCGACGAATGGACGGGAGGCCAGTCCGAACCGGACAGCGCGGCGGCCTCCTCCTCGGTGAGCTCGGCGGCGAAGCCCTCGAACGCGTGGTGGTAGCTATGCGTCAGCGACGGCGTGGATGGCCATGGCTCCTGCTCGCCGCTCGCCACGACGGACGACAGCATCTCAAGGTGGGCGGCGCGCACCGCCTCCACGTCGCCGGCTCCCGAGGAAGCGGAAGGACTCCCCATGTAGACGACATACGACTGAAACGATGATGCCCGTCAAACAAACCATGGCAACAATCGATCAACTCCTACCACTTCAGATATCGCATTTCAGGGTTCAGAGTTCAGACACATGCATGCATGGCCGGGTGCGATCTACGTACTATAACAGGAATAAGTCTACTGCTAGAGCTACCTCTTTGGTGTGCTGTGCTTCAGCTGAGAGGGATACCAGGAGGCGGTAGGCGAGGACAAGGATGACGAAGTGCGCGCGGTTCACCATTGATCCCTGCTCACTCCTAGTTTCCTGCTAGAAATGGAGTGACCGATATGATGCCTGCAGCATGCGCGCTGGGCGGGCCCAATTTGTAGCCTCCTTCCTTCCTTCCTTTTGGTTTGTTTATCGGAATCCGATTCATCTCAACTCTGACTGCTCTCTCTTTATCTTCCTTTTCTCTGGTGCTGCTGCTTTACCTCGCTTTTCTTTTCTTGTTGGGTCTAGTACATATATAGAAGCTTCTCATGGAAACTGCTTTCTCCTCGTCGTCGTCGCTGATCGACCACATGGCCGTCTGAGATGATACCCAAATGCTGACAGATCGTTCTTCTTTTTCTTCTTCTGAAGAGATTGCTTGACACTGAGGGATGGAATATATGCGCTATGACACTCAGCCAGCCCTACTGTTGCAGCGATTCTCTCGGATGTAAAAGAAGGTTTCGATGCTTATATCTCAAGCTTTACTTAGTGCTTCTGCCCATGATTAGAGCTGACGAGTGAGCATTTGGACTCTACTGTTTCTTCACCAGTGGTTGCTGATCAGGAAGATAACTACTACTATATCACAAGGAAAGTGATGGATCGTAATGTCGGCCAAGAATCTTTTGCCGTGTCGTCGTGGTATTTAACCGCACATGTCGTTAAAGCCGCGCGGCAGTGCTAACCATGTCGGTGCTGCCTAGTGTTGGACAATACAAAGACACATTGTCTATGGTCTCAGTCGAGTGAGACTTAACCACATTGTCTATGGTCTCAGTCGACTGAGACTTAACCGTCAAGTGACATTAGTAGTATATAAGAAGAAAAAAAACTGAAAATAACTTTTTTGTACAAATCTCCATGCAAGATCAAAGGAATATAGCATCGACTGAGACATAACGAAGTCATGTGTTTCTTCTTTTCTCAGCACTGCTTCTCTTTTTCTCTCTCTTATTAAGGATTTGTTTCATACTAGTATTATTTTCAGAGCACTGCCTATTTTTCCTTCTTGCTTTCAGATCATCAGGATGATCTGATGATGACTGTTTAATTTTATACTGGGGTGGAGATCCGAGACGGGATCACAGTCAGAAATTCATTGCCACTGGAGATGAGATGGTGGGGAGCAAAGGGAGGGATGTGAGGTTTAAGAGTGTCAAGTGCCAGCACATAGCAAAAGCTTTTTTGCTCCATGACAATGGCGCATCCAGTTCTCGCTATTCGGCCTGCCTGCCATTCTGTTTCAGGCCTGCCTACTGACTGACCAAGCAGACCCAGAATCAACTTAAGTGATGGTGTTCCTGTTCTTCAGTTATCATTTCAGTGGGAACTTGATGCATCGGAAGCTCCAGACGGTGAGTGTTATAAATAGACAGATAAAAAAATTGTTTCAGTTAAAATTGAACTGAGAAGTAGTAGATGACTGTAAAGAGTTTGAGGGGGGCGTACATTGTTGTTCTTGTTGTTCCTTCCTTGAGCATCAAGGGCCACAAAGGAGAGGGCTGGGTGCAGTATTCACATACTGGGCAGCGTAACCAACTGAGCAAGCAAACGGAGATTCGTTTGAGCTATCAAAGCCAGTGGAAACTCGTTTGAAAGTGCAGACTTTCAGCAAGCACGAAACCTGTCTGAAAACTGATGTTTTTGTTACCGAAGAAGGACCGATGTTCCTTTCAAGTTTTAAGCCACTGCATATTTGAGGGAAGATGGTGTCCAAGGACTAGTCGGCATTCCAATAGCATATTTGAAATAAATTAAAATTTTACAGAATAACAAACGGCAAAAAAAACATCCCAAAACTTGCTTCAGACAGACAGTTGTACAACATAGACTAACCACAGATAACAGCACATCAATCTGCTGCTATGGACACGCAAAAAGGTTTCATTATGGTAAAAAATTAATTGCATTATAACCGATTGCGTGTTTCAGAACAGAAAAATTGTACAAACGAAACAAACACCAATGCATTAGAGGAACGCAACACGTAGGTTTACAGAGGAATGGTACGGACCAGCTGTCCGACATCATGTGCCGGTCACACGTTCTTGAGCTTCTTCATCTTGGACGGTGGCCACCTGCCCTTCTTCCTCAGCCGCCTCTTTTGGACGAGCCGCTTGCGCCGCTGCCTCAGCTTCTTGGCCACCTTCATCCGTGCCCTCTGCTCCAGGATCATCCGCTGCTTGGACTCGAACGGCATGTCCTCGATCGAAGCCACTGGTTTTGGCTTCTCTGGTTGCTCTGCCGCATCAGTTGGACCAGCCTCTGCAGAAGCGTGGACAACCACGGGCATCTTCTTGGCAAGAGAAACATGGCTGACTGAGGCGCCAGTCTTGCACTGAAGTCTCGAGGCTACAAAGAAGAGCAATGACAAACGACACTTAGTAGGATCTTTGCTTACACCGATGTAAACATTGAAATTCTGAGCTTATGTATGTCACATGATTCGTAGCATATGTAATGTGCACCAGCAAAATTTATTGTGCTGTCTACTATCATTAGATGGAATTGCTACAGAAAAGATATGGCCTGTCTATGCTTACCTGATGTACACATTGACATACTGAGCTCATGTATGTCACATTGCTCATAGCATATGTAATGCGCAGTAGCTAATTTTAGTGTGCTCGCTACATCATTAGATGGAGCTGGTAAAGAAAACATATGGCATGTAAACTCAATGACTCGTCTGTAGCAACTTGCAAACCGCGAGCTGCCACGGTGTGCTTACGGATTTCATAAGACATCAAGTGTCCGTAGCGGTGGCCTATGCTCATAACAATTTATAGTAGCACTAAGTTTGAAAGGAGCAACCTTCTGAGGTAGTAAATGTAGGCTAGCAGAGAAAAATGAACATTCTTCCAAGAGACTGGTGCAGACAGATTGTTTGAATAAATTCCCGGGCGAGCCATTCCCATCGAGGACAAGCTGAAACGCCGCGACTAAAATTACGCACGCCCGGACTAATTCCTCCACCGATTTCGTTATCATATTTCGCGACAAGGGATCACCCAGTAAGTACTTGGCCATGGAACATCAACGAACGTACGGGACAATGGCGGGATGAGGCATAACGGCAGCTTACCGAGGTAAGGGAAGGCATTATTGCTGGCGGCGGTGGCGGTGGCGGTGGAGCTGGAGAGAGCTCGGGCACGAGGAGCGGAGGAGGGGGAGGGGGCGAGGAAGGAGACGGTGGGGGACAGGAGGAGCGCCATGGCTGTGGATTTGGGTTCCGGCCTATCCTATGCGGAGGAAGGCCACCTCTGCTGGAGGGATAAGCCTGTACAGGGAGAGTGCGCTGCGGTCTGATCAGAAATCAACGGACAGAGTTAGTCGCGCTTGAAAAGGGCTGAGATGCTCCTCACGTAAGAAAACAATAAAGCACAGCATTTCATATATATATATTCAACTTAATATCACAGCATTTGATTTCATTTTACAGTGGACGTATTATTTTTCAACTATTCTATGCGAGCGCACATGTTGTAACATGTTGCATGGCTATTGTTTTAGGGTTTCTCGGTTGCACAAATATCACCAAAGGTGGCCACTTGATATGCATTTTAAATAGTGCAAGAGCATACCAAAATGTTTCTGACCGCTAAGAGCAACTCTAACATAGACCCATATCTGCCAGCTAGCCTTCATATTTGATGGTTGGACGAGACGATATAACAAGCCCTCCATCCATTCAAGTATTGGTACCACAGACATTTCAGGAGACACACTTTCTTTAGCCGCCGCCGTTTGGTGTCACCCCTGCTGGCCGGACTGCTATGAGTCGTTCCTAGACTTCCCATACTTCGCTGCAGCCCCACAACTGTTTCTCGCCATCTGGTCGTGCCACTCCTTCCACCGCTCGATCTCAAGGTGTTCGACGACTTAGGGCATCTCCAGCCGTTGGCCCCCCAGGAGGGGCAAAAAATTGCCCCCGGGGACGCACCGGCGCTAAACCGCGCATTGGGGACGTGATGCTCCCCAGTCGCGGCCCCCGACGGGTTTTTAAAATGTTCAAATTCGGCGCAAACACAACGCAAACACGGGCGAGTTCGTTCAAATTTAAACATATTTTACAAAAAAAAGAAAAAAACTACCGCGGGCTACCCCCGCCGTCTCCCTCGCCGCCCGCCTCGCCGCCCGCCCACGCGGTTCTACATGCCGAGGGGGCTGTAGAACCGCGTGTAGTCACCGCCGCCGTCGTCGTCGTCGCCCCGGCCTACGCCTTCGCCGTTCCTGCTGCATCCCTTCCCCGGTTGGCGCGGCGGGTTGGACGGTCCGGGGGCGTCGTCGTCGTCGCTATCGAGGACGACGACACCGTCCTCGTCCTCGCGGCCACGTTTGCGGGCGGCGATCTCCTCCAGGGCCCGGCGCTGCCGGATCATCTCCTCGCGTAGGTAGTTGTCGCGCGACCACCGCATGGCGTCCTCGTCGGAGAAGCCGCGCCGGGCTATCTCCTCGTACTCCGGAGGGAGGCTGGACTCCACCTTGGGCTCGACGAGGGCGCCGGAGCTGCGGGTACGCGCGCTGACAGGCGTGTCCTGGGGCTCCGGCTTGACGGGGCGGAGGTGGAGGCAGGGAGAGCCGTCGGACGAGGAGGAGGACACCCCGGTCTCCATGCGCCTCGGCGTCCAGGAGCTTCCCCGGCGGCGTGAGAAGGACGGGGGAGCGGGGTACTCGAGGCGCGGCGTGTTGCCGCCATCGATGTACTCGAGGACAGACTCCAACGTGCGCCCGAGCACGCACCACCACCGACGCCGGTCGGCGGCGTTGAACCTGCCGGAGGGCACGACGTTGTTGGTGGCCTCGAACTGCTCGTCGTGCCGGCGACGGAAGTACGACTCCCAGATTGGGCTGTCGGGGACGTACCGGGGCCCCTCCCTCGCCGCACGCGACAGGGACGAGCGGATGCGTGCGATCTCCGCAGGCCGCGCCGCCGGCGCTGATCCTCCACGCCCCGGGCACCCGCATGTCCGGCGGGACCGGGTACTCGGCCTTGAAAAGGAGGCGAGCCTCGTCCTCGTGCAGATGACGGCGCCCGAAACCCTTCGCCGCCGCGCCATCGCCTGAGAAACGCTCGGCCATGCTTTCTCAACTGGTGACAGCATGAGGAGGAAAGGGGGAGAAATGAGCGCGTCGCCGGTGGATGATCGGGGTGAGTCTCTCCGGCGCGCTTGCAGTCGGCTTTTATAGGCAGAGACGCCGCGTGGTAGGCTTGGCCGGCGCGTTACGTGTGGCGGCCAAGGGACGCGTCGCCCAACCTTCACTGCGCCAGCCGTGAGGCATCAATGGAGGCTGACCGGCGCGGCAGCACGCGGCAGCTTTGGCATTGATTCGCCGCGGGAAACGAGGCGATGAGGACGACGAAGGGGCGAGAAGAGAGTAGAGTCGCTGACGCGGCGGGCCCACGGCTCTTCGCGCCAAAAACGATTCGCCCGGCGCCCCCGAGCGACCCCCAGCGCGCCGGGTTCGGGTTGGGTCCGCCGGCGCCAATTTCGGCCCGAGCCGGCGAAAATTGGGCTCTTGGGGGCGCGACTGGGCCGATTTTTTGGTGCCGGCGAACGAAAAAACGCCTGGAGGGCCTTCTTGGGGGCGCGGCTGGAGATGGCCTTACCCCGAGGTAGATTGCGCCAACTTTTCTTGTAAATTTAGTTTAGCGGCTCATAGCTCATGTAGACGGCATAGGATTCACATTCTGTGTAGATGGATCCATCAGTAGAGCTATTTTTGTACAATTCATCATTGGATTCGAGCTTCGAGTCTTGATAGTGAAATCATGGATGCCGAAGATGATATGTTCTCTTGATGGTTGCTGACTGGATAGCGGCAACCGGCACAAAGAGGGAGCATGCAAGATCACAGGTTGGTCGACCGACATTTCACCAAAACAGAACAGAAGGCCACGAGAAGTTCATGCGCAAACTACTTTCTGTCGGGTTGTTCCACGGATGTTCCGTCGGATCGACGACATGGAAGCTAATGAACCATTCTTACAGCAACAGAGAAATACCACCGGTCTCCTGGGTTTTCCCCTTATCATAAAGTGAATGCGGCACTTCTGATGAGTGCATATGGCATGCCTGCAGCTCCATTGGATGATTATCTTCAAATGGCTGAAGATAAAATCATAAAGTGCACAAAAATGTTGGCTGAAACAATCATGAAGGTTTACGGAGAGCAATATCTACGAGCACCCAATGTCAAGGATACGGCCAGGCTTCTATCAATGAATGCAGCAAGACGCTGTCCTAGGATATGAAGATTATTGGTTCCTCATATCCCTTGAATACAAATAAAATCAGAGCTCAAATACAGGTACTTTCGTCCTGCATTTTGTGTCAAAGAAAAAAAAGAGGGAGTATATCCAAGTACAGGCATGTAGACAGATTATTTGTTCAATATCACAAAAGATAATCATAACGTACAATACAGGGTTACAGATGCATGATGTCTGAACATCTCTTCAGGAAATTAACAGATTTTGTGCAAGCCGACAGTGCAATCATAAACATAGGTGTTAAGTAATAGTATGTCACGGTATACTAACTGATAAATGTAAACTGAATGAATCATATGAACAAATGGAGAGATCAAACGGACAGCTGGAGTATATGATACTGCAAAGATATCTTCATCTTCATTTTACCATCGCGTACCTAAGAGTACCGATATTTATTGCATTGCAAATTCAGATCCGGTTGCCACCATTGGCTAATGCCATGGGCATATTTGAAGTCCAGTGAAGGGCTCACGTTTACAATCAAGTCTGCAGATGGAAGAAGGTGCAGCGGTTCTGATTCCCATCCTAATGCCTTGTAAAACAGGTCTCCGATTGAGTTTTGGGTCGCAAGCTTCTCAATAAATCCAGCACCGAGATCCTCCATGTTCCTACGATGCTGGAAGTACCCAATGTACTCTGAACATACATGGTCTCCTGGATTAACAAACAGATATGGCGTCCATGATGACAAAATGTTGAATGATTCTTCCGCAACAGACCTCTGATTGTTCCCCTCGGTTTTTGCTTTCATTGCAATAGTTAGTCCCGCGGTAATAACACTTCTTGCAATGCGGAAACCATGCTTTACCCTCTCATCCCTGATTCCCTCTATCGGAGCAGCGACAAACGGTGGATTGAAGAGAAAGCTATCCAAAAGAGCACCCTTCTTAACCATGTTTCTGCCAGTAAGGATGGCCGTACCTGCACCCAGTGAATGACCAGCTAGCCAAATTGGGGATCCAGGGAAAGCTGAGGCTACATTTTGAACAGCTTGCATCGCAATTGCAAATCTTGAGGTCTTATGGAGACCATTTTGAACGAGCTGGAGGTCAAGGGAAAGATCTCTAGAAATAGTTTCCTTCTCAGTTATGGTGCCTCTGAAGGCAATGACAAATCTAGGGGCATCCCGGGCAGAAGCTTCTTTACTTGAAGGAGGGTTGAATTCAAATATTGCACCGAATATAGACAAGTCAACATCATCGACAAGCTTGCGGATCATCTCAAAACCAAAGAACTCCCACCAAGGAGGTGCTGCGGCGTCAATAGATTGACGGTTTAGTTGCCGGTCTCTCTCCAAAACATACACAGCCTGAACTAAACATGCAGCCACAGATCTCCTATTATTCTCGCAGTTCCTTTTGTGGGTCCAAAGAAAAGAGAGAAAGTTACTACCTTATGAGAACAGGACATAAAGTGCAAGCTGAGAACAGGACAACATAGGGCCAGTTCTTTTGGGGCTTATGGCTGGCTGTGGAAATACCCATAGTCATGTATCCCCTCCATTGCATATTAGTTGTCGCTGATTTAGTACAGTTGTACTAAATCAGCGACAAATTGTACTCAATCAGTAATCAGCAACATCTTTCCTGAAAGGGTAACTTACTTTATGCCATCCAAACGAACAATGCTTTTGAATCTTTTTATAACCCAACAATAAAATAACTAAATAAGTTTGAAAATACTTTCTCACTTTTCCAGTACTATTCGTATTGCTCAATTCTACTTCTATTTGGTTACAGTAGTTTTCCCCATCTTGTAATCCTTTTTTGGGTCGAGGTACATGATGTTATTGGTAGATGACCCATCCATCGCTAGATGTACGGCTAGGAGTTGCTAAGCTGCCAATGGGGGCCAACAGTTAGGTACAATTTTTTGGGGCTCACCAACCCCCAGCAGCGTAATAATATCTATGGCCCCTTACTTGACAGTAGTGGCATCGAGTTAGGTTGGGAAGATGGTAGAGGCACTGAGGCACCCAGCGATTACATTGGGTGGCGATTTGCTGGGCGGAGGTGGAGAAGGTAGGCAGATGCGAACGCAGAAGAAAACAATGGGACAACAAGATTGCGTCAATTAGGAATGAGGTGTGTGTTGGACTGTTGGTGCAGTGGTTAGTTGTTGCAAATCATGTTCTCATGTAGTGCACCCAGTTAACCCATACACACCCATAGAGATGAAATGCAACTGAAGTAACAAAACATAACTAGTCTGTTCTAGCACTCTAAATTAAGCTAAACTTAACATACTTTTTGAAGTTAAGCTAAACTTAATTTTCACAGTGCTTTTGGCAATCTTTTCCTCTCTCCTCCAAGGAGGCAGCATTATTGAATGAAACAATAACCCTTCCTTGTATTCAGCAAATTCCATCCAGATGGGGAATGTTTTAGTGGAACCTAATTCAACAACTACTGCCCTGACAAACAAAAATTGCTTATTCCTGAAGCATGCGCTGTGATGAATGTGTAGAGTCGTATTTGTTTTGACCGGTAAACGTCAATGCACAACTGCATATAGTAACATAAGAAATGATAATGAGGATTGCAACTGATTTTAATTGAAAAGGGGCAATCTCGAGGTTATAAGTATGCTGTCTACCAAGACCATGTCAAATGCTTTTCAACAAAAATGAGAGTTATTTCATTAGAAAAAATATCCTACATAAAAGATGAATAATCCAAAGCCAATACTGATGAAGCTTCAGGCCACTTCGGGTTAGGCCATAACCGGTGTGGAGTTGGCTGGAGATTGATTGCGTAGGATAGCAAAAATTAAGCAACTAATGCCTGGCCCATTACAGCCATAGTTATGTCCTGGTGTGGATGCCATGTTAAGAACCAGCTGGTGACTTGGGGTTCATTAGTGCCTCCTACCATAAAATTAATTACTTAAAATCCTATGGTCTTCATTGAAATATAAGAGATGAATATAGGTCTTGCAAAATTCTTCAAAATCTTTTGCATAGTCAAATTTAGGATTAGCTGGAATAGAATGAAGAACATAATTACATAGAGATCTAAGGTGAAAATATACATGAGAAGGAGAGAGGAGTTTACATCACACATTCTGTTTTCTATCATATGCCCAAAGTTTACTAACTTGCACTCCTTTCTATGTTTCTAGAGGAATCGTTGGCAAGAAAATAAACACCATAAACTTGAATATATCACATTGTGTTATCTACCAATTATGACTGATGACTATGATAAGTTCCGTAAACATCACTGGTTTGGTGGGATTATTTACCCGAGCAAATGCTAAATTTATGTAATCAGGAAAAACAACATGAGATATACAGCTATTGGGATTAAATTAAGCAACACATAGCAACAGAACCTCATAAAAGTACACAGGTCTTTGCACCTGGACTTGAATCGGCATTTAACATAGCAAACATATTGGATTCAAATGTAAGCTCTATGCAAGTGCTATCTATCAAACACTTGCAAAACATTATAGGAAATGTTATGTAACATACCAATTAACAGGATTAAGATATGTCGGCCCTGAGATACCAAAGATGTCTCTCTCCACAGCCATCAGGCTATACAAAGCTGCTCTTCAGTTGATTGGCTTGGTAGTGAAGAAAAACATAGCACTGAAATAAGTAGAAAAGGTCAGTACATAAAAGTACAAATCTTCAAATTGTTGAACTCTTCAAGCAAAACATATATAAATGCAACATCAGGGGGGCATTGCAATCAAATACTAAAGAAAGGGGTAACTCTAGTCCTTAGTGTACGAAGTCTAAAACTTCTGGCTCAGTTCAGCAGAAAGGCTAAACGCACGAACATCAGTGTTCGTTCCAACTATGGATAGCAACTGACAGCTGTGACACAAGGTAACTAGCAGTCGAGCATTTCAGCCTTTCAGGGCCAATCAAGCAAGAAAAGGTATCAAAGGAGAGGAAGTTGGGAACAAATAAGGTTTTTATAGAAGGTTCAAGGGCGGTCATCAGATAGATGTAAGCACACAACAATGTCATTCTCAGAGAGATTCATGCAACCAAATAAAATAGAAGGTTCAGATGAAAAAGGTCGATTATTAACAAAATCATTAGAAATTTTGATAGAATAAAAATGGAACATGGTATCAACTCCTTGGTTTAGCAGGTGTGTGTTCTTCTAAGTTGACAATGATACTAGCAGCTTCAGCTTGATTGGCATGAAACTAGGGCAGTTGTGGATCAAAATCTGAATCAACCCACCTTGTAATCTTCTGACATTTTCCATTAAGGGGTATTTAAGTATCTGCACTCCGTCCATTGCCATGTTAGACACAACCATTGCTAACTTCTAAAGTACTAAACGTTCTTATATTTCGGGACGGAGGGAGTATATGTTATCCTTGATTATTTGCCGCTTTAATTATTCATAGTTTAATTGTTTCATATAAATCAGCTATTTTTCCGACGTGCAAAAGTCAATATTGCCTGTTAGATTCGTTGCGTCATTGAAGACAGTGACTACATGATCGAACAGTGCAGGTTATATGGTTACCAGAGCATCTTTAGTGGATCCAATCTACAGCCAGGCTGGTTGTTGTCGCAGAAAACTTGATCAGCTGGTGACAGTAGGCCGTTGAAGCCACCCCGCCTGTGTTGCGCAAGTGGATCTGGAAGCACCGCAATGGCGCCATCGTCGACAAAGCGCAGCCCAACATCCCGGTTTGCTCTCACGTTGTAAATTAGTGTGTTGGCTAGTCTCGAGCTTGTACATAGCTCAAAGCTTTTTGTGTTTTCTCGAGAGAGAAAATTGGTTACCAAAAGCATGAACTAATACAATGCACAAATACCAGATGAACATTTAGCAGAGAAAATGGGCGACCATCCAAAGGAGTAGAGTAATTAAGCAATCATAAAAGGAATTTATCTTGTCTTGTTGGCGAGGAAGGAGAGAAAGGTAGTTGAAGCAGAGCAGAGGAGCAAGGTAGGAGCCGGCTGAGATGTTCGATGTGGAGGTGCTCACGGACGGCTGTAGTTAGGGAAGTGAAGAAGTTAAGAAGAGGCCGAAGACAAAAACGGAAGGCAGCAGAGTCACCGGTTCTGCTGCTCAACGGCAGGGCGTAGCAGTACTGGAGAAAGGGCTCAACGGCGTGCAGTTGCGGTGGAGGATCGGGGCTCCGGCAACTAGGCGTGTGGCGGTTGAGAGGAAAATCGGTAGCGGCGGCACGAGTCTGGAAGAATGATCTTGAACAAGCATTGGAGAGAAAATAGCAACGACATTTTCGCCTAAATTGGGTCCCCGCCTGAGAAATCCAATCAAAATCGCGCGAATGGGATGAAAAGAAGAGGCAACGGATAGATCTTGCGGGGGGTGGGGATCAAACGAATCTGGGACAGAGGAAGAAGAGTGTTACCTTGACGAACAGCGATGAGGACGGGACTGGAGGGGGAGGGGACGAGAGCCGAAACTGAGGGCGGGGGCGCAGACAAGATCTCACGGCAACAGCGTCTCTCCCCCAAACCACCTCCTTGAATGACAAGATGACAGTACTAGTGTGGGTATATTAGCGCTTGCGTTTGTATTGTGTTTAAAAAGTTATGGGACAGTAGTGACTAAACGGGTCTCAAAAGGATTGTATTTGATTGGATTCGATTACATCAAATTCACCAATTTGATCTACCAAATTCATTTGCTCTCTTCTTTGTTCTTCGCGCCGATTCGATTACATCAAATTCACCAATTTGACCTACCAAATTCATTTGATCTCTTCTTTGTCCTTCGCGCTGGACGTCTCGTAGCTTCACCGTCACCCTTGCTCCGCAGTTGTTTCGAGCCTCAGCGCTGCCAGCACCGGCACAACAATCCTCTTTACTGTGCTCGCCGCCCCCGACATTATCGTCGGCCCCGATACCACTGCAGTACGTCCGGCAACTATCGGGTTGCCCCTTGCGCTCTATGTGTTCGACACATTGTCCGACCCAGTTTTTGTGATTTATTCATAAGGAAAACGATGGATTCTGATGCTTCGTCGGACTTGGAGTATGGACCAACGAAGCTTGATAAAATGATTGAAGATGAGTTTTTCGATTCGTCGGATTCGAACGAAGAAGTGGACATGAGCATGCAAGAGGAAATGGACCGGCGGATGGAGCAGATTCTCAACTTTAAGGGCTAGATCAAAGGGAGAAGAGTGATCAATCGGGATAGGGTCTCCAGAGCATGGCTACTGCACAAGAACTACTTTGTTCCAGACCCAACTTTTTCGGATGATCCATGGTTTCTTCCTCGTTCCTGTATGCGCAAACCATTGTTTTTGCACACTGTGGGGGACTGGAGGCACATGATGACTATTTCAAACTCACAAGGGATTGTTGCGGACTCACCCTACTCCCTTAGACAATGCAATGCTCTGAACACAAGTTTGCAGTTCAGCCCTCTTCTCCCATGCAGAGTGACAGGCAACGCCTCGGATAAAAGCACGAACGAGAACTTTCTTTCTCTGCTATGCAGAAATGCACGGCTGCTCTGAGGATGCTTGCACTTGGTACTGTTGTCAATGACATTGGTGAGATGGTCCAGATGGGGTGCACATGCCTAAAGACTACTGTCAGGTTTGCCCGCGTCGTGCTGCAGGTATTTGGAGCAGAATATATGAGAGAACCAAATGTGTAGGACACGAAAAAGTTGTTGCCTATTAGGGAGGCGAGAGGGTTTCCGGGAATGCTCGGATCAATTATTGCATGCATTGGCAATGGAATAACTACCCCAAAGGTTTGCGGGAATGTATCAAGGTCACACCAAAGAGGCCACCATCATACTAGAAGCAGTGGCATAACATGATTTGTGGCCTTGGCATGCTTTCTTTGGAATGTCGGGTTCTCACAACGACATCAACGTGCTTCAACAATCTACCGTGTTCAGGAGGCTTTGTAATGGGGAATCGACGCCGTGCAACTGCACTGTCAATTATCGTGACTACAACATGGGATACTATCTTGTCGATGGCATCTTCCTTAATGGGCAGCGTTTGTGAACACCATATCCAAATCACAAGGCAACAAACAAAGCCACTTTACAATAATGCGGGAAGCAGCTAGGAAGGGTGTGGAGAGGGTATTCGGAGTGCTCCAAGCTTGTTGGGGAATTTTTAGTGGAGCTGCAATGATGTGGGCATTAGAAACATTGTGGCAGCTGATGACATTTTGCGTCATTTTGCACAATATGATTGTCGAGGACGAGGGTGATAGTGTAGCCCAAACCAATGATTTCGAAGCACCTGGAGACCAAGTTCAAATCTTGAATGTTCAAGATGCAAATCAGCTTATAAACTTTCTACAGATGCATCAGATTCTTCATGATGATCAAGTGCACGTGCAACTACTAAGTAATCTTGTGGAGCATATGTGGACCCACAATGGAAACCAAAGAGCTAATGCTTGAGTTCTGCACTTAAAATAAATTTTATGTAAGAATTATGTATTTTCGCTACCAACATTTGTTATTTACGTGTGATATTGACATGTATGATGGGCGTGCGTGATTTGCATGTATTTGAGAGTCTGGATTTGAAGTATGTGATTGTTGGGCAGGGCATATGAGGGGTGGTCCAGCTGCACCCACGGGCGTGCCTGGGCACGTCCGTGGACATATAGAGGACATGATTTGCCAAGTCCGGCTGTAGATGCTCTAAGTCGGCCATCTAATCTTGTTCCCTAAATGTTCGTCTAGGGTTTTTTTATTCGTGATGAGCTCAAAATAATTGCAAACCAAATCTTCGCTGGGTGAAAATATTTAAATATGATAATAGTTCTCATATAAATATTACAATCCAAGTAAGTTTTGAAATAAAATAGTTCAAACTTGAATTTAAATCGCATGTATGTTCTAATTGTCCCATTTAACTACTCAAAGATGCTTAATCGGATCTTACTCGAACTGCTCATGACGGAACAAAATACCGTTAGGTCACTCGGTAGGGGGTCCAAGCACGGCTAGAAGTCTGAGATCAAAGATCACACAAGGGTTTTACCCAGGTTTAGGCCTCTGTATAGTAATACCCTACAACCTGCTTGCTTTGATTATTCATGGTAGAGAGATACCTCGTGTGAGGGGTTACAATGGTGTTTGATGTTGCTATCGAGAGTTTCTAACTGAGATTAGATGATCATGAAGGTTCCCTAGCCTCCCCCTATATAGATGATGGAGGCCTAGGGTTTACAGGGGTGTAGATGCGATATCCTCTGTTGCCGCCCTTGTCTTGGAGGGCAAGAAGGTCTTCGACGCCCTCCTAGGGTTTCTGTTGGGGATATTACTACTAAATATAAACCGGCCATGAGGGGCCGGGTTATGCCCACAGTGAGTTAGTCATGTTTGAAGCCCATAAAGACAAGAAGATATGGCGCTTTACAGAGGAGATCTAACATGAAGGCCCGGGACCCTAAGGTGGATTAGGACCCGTAGACATAAACCGCCATATGATATGTAACTTATGTTGTAAGGCAAGGAAAAGTAGAAACCGAGCCGGGCACGTGTATGAGCCGGCCTCAGGATTCTGTAAACCGTCGGACGTTAACCTGTGTATATAAAGGGACAACC